ACACACACACACACACACACACACACACACACACACACACACACACACCTTAGTTCTTCCCAAGTGGCATATAGGCTTAAGGCAGTTCTATAAAAATCTCAGCAAGGTACTTTGTAGCTATAGAAAAGATTATTCTCAGGTGCATATGGAAATGCAGAGGGAGTGCATTTCAACAGCTGCAGACAATTTTGAGAAAGAAAACATAGGAAGGATCAGTCACCCGACTCTAAGACTGATGACTACAGGAATCAAGATCACGTGTCAAATCACGTGTCTTTGGCGTGTAAAGGAATGGAACTGAGAAACCGGAAACAGGCAGCTGTACGCCATGAAACAATCATTTACAAAGATGTTGTAAAAACAGCGCAACGTAGGTAGCCTTTTAACAAAGTGGTGGAGTTTGTAAGTATCTATAGATAAAAAAAAATAATAATAATAATGGCAAACAGGAGCATAATTCTCACACCTTTGTAAAATGTAATTTAAATAATGTTTCTCTCAAAAGTGAAGAATCCAATTTTGGTTCCACTGCTCTTCCTTCCTCTCCCACCTCTCCTCTGCTCTCCTTTCTCTCTCTCTCTTTCTGTGTCTCTCCTCCTCTTTGCCCCTCTTTCTGGGCCCTGTCCTCTCCCCTCCCTTTCCCCTCCCACTTCTAATAAATCTGCATTTTTATATACATATTTATGTATATAGAGAGGGGGAATCAAATTTCTTTTTTTTTTTTTTTAAAGGGAGTCGGCTAAGACAGGGAGAAGTCAGGGAGGGGAAGATATAGAAGATACTATCTGTTTTCCTTTCAGCGAGTCTATCCCTTGAAACAAAGCCAGCAGCTTGCCCACCTTACAGAGCTCAGTCTTGGGTCACAGGATTCAGGTTGTTCTGGAAACTACATAGTTATCCACAGAGATCATCAAGACCAGTGCCTCCCGGGTGCCAGGGAACTCTTGAGTCATCTTGGGAGCCTCGGGGCCACCTTCAGAGCATGAAGTTCTAAGCTAGAAAGTTGGTCCTCTTGAGTGGCTCTGGGCAAGCATCTTTACTTCCATGAGTGTCGATTTCCATATTGGTCAAGTGTGAATATCAAAAGGAAATGTATTGCCTACATCATATAGGTATTTTTATTATTGAATTCTTTAATATTAGCGACAATCATCTTGCCTCCTGATGTAAAACAGGCACTTGTCTAAGATCACATGGGAAGTAGTACATGGAGAAGGGGCTAGTCTCCAGGCCACAAACCTCTGCAGTTGGACAGTGGCTGAGGAAACTCTTCTGGGGTTTTCCCTTTTTTGACCACCCTGGTAAAGCCAAGTCAGAGGAGGCAAGACACAGACCTCTGCACAGGAAAACTCCAAAGCTGTGGGTCAAGTCTTGTTACCATCCAAGTCCCTTGCTGATCCTTTCGGAGCCCCCCCCCCCCCCCCCCTCTTCTTTTATCCTTGAGATTAAAATCACTTCTCCCTGCATTTTCCTCCCTCCAAGCCCTCCCTTCCTGCTCTTTCCAAGCCCTGTATTCTTACCTTGGAGTAAGTCTGGATCCCAAAGCCTCCAAGCTTAATAAACATTGACACTGGGGTACGATCTTTGCCTACTCGCAGGAGCAAGCATTCGCAGGGTGCCTGCAAGCCCCAGTTGTTTCGCTTCTAAGACATATCATGCACTGATGTTCTCCGCAGGGACTAAGGGGAAGCAAGAGCACAGACACATATACGGAAGAGAGGATTGTCCTTTTTAAAAGGTGGAAATGAATCAATACTTAGAGAGGGCAAAATTTATCGCGTAAGCACATCTTAATCTTTCTGCATTGATTTTGTTCTGTGTGTATGAGTGCTTTCCTTACATGGATGTCTGTGTACCATGTGTGTGCCTGATGCCCAAGGAGTTCAGAAGAGGGTGTCAGATTCCCTGGAACTGGACATACAGGTGGTTCTGAGCCACCATGTGGGTGCTGGGACTCGAACATAGGTCTTCCGCAAGAGCAACAAGTGTTTTACGTGCTAAGCCATCTCCAGCCCCATAAACAGATTTATTATTTTTAAAGGGTGGCTTTCAAACAAAATATTAGGACAAGGGGCATAACCTATCTTCCTCAATAGTCACTAAAGATGAACATCTGCAGTTACCTATGCAGAGCTACATTATTTGCCATGTATGTCGAATTTTAGATACAAGTCTTAGGGAAAATTGGGATTGCATTTATTTTGCCAGTGTATTATATGTTTACATTAAGAGCTGGGCAATGGGCCATTTTTTGATCAGTTTCAGGACAACAGCAGAAGTGAATCAGAAGACCTGCCTGTACCACACTTCCATCCATAATCTAAAACTTGCATAGATGTTTGCTAAGCAGAAGGAATTTTCTGGAAAATCTGACACTTTTCATACAGTGTCCAGGGTCCAGTGTCTTGTAGGCAGCATTTCTCGTCACTGATGGGCCAGCTTCATAGATGAGCGGGCAGAGGCTCATGGGAGTGCATTTGGATCCCCCCCCAAGAGGAAAACAGGAGGACTCAACTCTGAAGCTAATTCTTGCCACTGCTTCTATTTTTTTTTTAAATAATTAGGCAATTCATGACTTTATTATATAACACTCCCAGAGCGGTGAGGAAAGTCGGAAGACCTTCACGCCCTCCCCGGCTCCTTTTTCAAGCTGTGTTTAGGAAACAAAGCACTTGAGGCAAGACCTGGCATGTATCTGCTGAATTGGACTCAGGTTCCTGTTAGTCCATCTCTCCCACCCCACACTTTTCATAATTGTCTTCTAATTGCTGTCACTGACTTTCAATGCTTTCTTTGAAGCAGGATGTAGGTACCTATTTACTAAACCAAGAAACTTGAGACATAGTTTCTTATGCTTTTGCTGGCTATAAATTCCACCCTGGAAATCTCCACAGAACTCAGACCTTGAATCGTAGAATTTTCCTACCCAGGCAAAGCAGGTCACAGCTCCATGCTCTGAAGGGTGAGAGAGCAGGCCTCTTTAATCCTGTGAATTGTGTTAATCCCGAATATCATAAGAGATGAGTAGATAAACTGACTTGAAATATCTTTTGTTTATTTCAGCCACTTACGAAATTGAAATTGAAGAACTCCAAAAGGTACTCCTTCCCGTGTCCTTACTAATGTGTGACTGAGAATAACACTCCGCGCCCCAGACGTACTAGAGTACTCCCCAGCAAGGTGAAAGCTCCCTATCTGCAGCAGGTTTTTCCAGGCTCAAGAGGTCAGGACTCTTGAGCCCTGAGCCTTTCAGGTAGAATTAGGTGTGTACTGAGATGGGGCAGCCATGGTCTGAATTGATTCCTGGACCCTCCTCTCCTGTGGTCTGGGCCAACTGGCCTTTAATAACTATCTCCTTCAGAGATAACTGTCCTTAAGGACAGTCCAAATTTATATAATTTATGCTTTCAAGAGAACAACCAGAACCTGGAAGGCATATTTCCTGGGTCCTGCTGCTGGAGTTAAGTGCGAACTTGGAGGTGATATAGCAATTCAGTTGGGTCCCTCAGTAGAATTGCTACTGGCCTTCGTCGTAGCTCCTCGCTATGACCTTAAATATTGGTCAACATCCTCACCTATAAAATGGGGAGAACAGAATACCCAGATCTGGAGTCCTTGTGAAGGTATGATGTGGTATGTTGAAAAGTACCTGAGACTCAGCACTCGGCTCTCTGAACCACCGTTCTTCTGTAAATGGAGTTTTCCACATGGGGACAGGAAGTGTGTTTTATCTCCATGCTTGCCATAGTAGATGTTAAGTAAAATGAGGAGACCAGGATTTACTTCTTCAAATTGCAAAGAACAGTAAATTACATGAGCTTTCAGTACAGTGTCTGACACATAGTAGGCACTTCCTGAACACTTTTGTGGGGTTGGTGAAAGGTCTATTCCACCTTCAGTGGGCACATTTTTAAGCTGGGTGAGCAAAGTCCAATTTCATCTTTTATGATGACTTGCCTGTAGGGCTGGGTGAGCACAGTTTCTGTTCTGACAAGCTGCTCCCGGATCCTTGCAGAAGGGCTAGTTGACTCCCATCAGAGTCCCTAGCTGTTTTCTGTGGTTGTCCCCTTTTCTGGAAATTACCTTGTCTGCCTCCCGTTGGCGTGCTGGTTTCTAGCAGTGAGTTCTTTATTTGACCGGGAATGACGACATAGCAACATTCAATTCCCCAAGATTACCCTGGGAGTCAGTACCCCTGCTCCCAAATATAAATGATGCCTTGAGAGCTCAGAGCTGTTAAATAGCCAGTAATTAACATAGCAGAGATACAAACAGAAAGGTCTGTGTGACTTGGTTTCTGGTGCTGACTTGCTAGTGTTCTTCATAGAATGACGAGTCCCTGAATGAAGGCCTACAGGGCTCTCCTCCGAGCACTGTCCGGGAACTGCTATGCTTGGCCTCACAGGCAGCCTTTCAGACTCTTATTTTCTGTTTTCTTCGGGGTTCTTGGCTAGAATCCAAACAATTAATGACATCAGAGGTGGAAGTGTGTGAGTAAGGGGAATGGGATTTTGTTATGTTGTGATCACTGGGACATAATCTTAACGAAACTCAGTCTCTGCCATGTAAGACTGGGGTTTTGATCAAAGAGCATGTAGTTGGGGCGCAGTACAAGCAAGACTCAGACACTGACCTACGTCAGTTTTGGCAAGCAAAACTGCCCAAATGCCACATGTTGTGCCTTTCTGGGGTCTAGAAGCTCTTCTCCTTCAGACGCATGCCTGGAAAGGGAATGCAGTTTGCAGAGAAAACTGTCCAAGTCATATTATATGCTGTAACTTACACTCAGTGGCGGAAATGTTGGTTTCTCTTCTGCTTGAGCTTCAGTCTCACACGCAAGAGAGGTTCATGGAACTTTCTGCGGCCATTGTCTGCTTTCACCATGTCCTTCACCTCCCATTTGATCAGGCCTCCTGATGGCTGATCTCTAATCAACAACAGAGCCTGCTTTGGGTAAACTCACAGAACTGATTGTTTCTGTCTTCATTTTCAGCCTTGGAGAGCTTTAGTTCATCCAGAACTGAGGTAAGTTTTATCTGTAAAATGAAAGCATAGTCTAGCCACTCATGACTCATGACTGAACTCATTTTCTTGCTGTGGTCTGGCCATGTTCCCAGTACATTATCTGGTTCTGTTCCCTGGCACCTTGTAAGGTAACTGGTGTAGAGCAGGTTCTCAGCGACCCTGTCTGGCCTTTCTTGCTCTTGTCATCCCGGCCCATACTGGACTCATGCAGTGAACTCTAGCTGACAAAGCAAAGAGGAGTCACTGAAGATAGATCCATAGACAACACATGGTAATCCAAAACAGGTGGACAGAATGTTGGGAGTTGGGAGACAACATGACTGCCTGAGAGGATCAGTGGAGGACTCTCCAGACTTAGAAAAAAAAAAAAAAAGATCTTGGATTTGAACTCTGACCATGGGACACAGGCTTGGCCTTCCAGGGGGATTGTCTTCAGCCCAGACAGTAGAGTTCTTAGATTTGTTAGCAATGTAAGATGGCAAATAGCATGTTTGGAAAAACGAGTAGCTAATAAAAAGGGAGAAGTATTCAAATAAGCTGGTGGCTTGGAGGAAATTGTGAAAATCTACATCCAAACAGAAGTAGAGGGAGGGACAAATGGAAATGGAATTTGGAAAGGAAGAAAACTGGCACCACAAGAGGACATAGATTGTGTCCTACAGGAACTAGAGAAGCAAAAGCTGTAAGCACGAACTGACACTCACGCTGGTTGGAATAGGCACAAGCTCATGCAGGCTGGTTCATCTGGTCCTAGTTCCTCATCTTAAAGCATTAACTGTCCCCAGTCATCTCATTCAGACTGGGCCACATCTACCATCTTCATTCAAGAACTCCCTTTTCCTTGATATCTTCATCTTTCATTCCTAGACCCAAAGACGAAGAAAACAACATGAAGGAAAAAGAGCCGTGTGAATTCGAACCTCAGAAGCCAGGGAAGGACTCACACTCTCACCATCCTCCCAAGGTATGTGTGTCCGAGGGCTCCTGATGTGATTCAGACATGAGGTCTTCCTCCAGTATGTATCGGATCAGCATAGTGCACTGCTTTTCTTGTCAAAACTAAGAAATGAAATCCAAATTCCTTGGTTTGTATATGAGATGATTCACAATTCAGCCACATCCCATCTTGTCTTTTAGTCTCACCTCCAGTCTTCCTTACCCATTTCTTCCCCCTTGTCCTTTCGCTTAGCTCTCATCACAGCTTCTGCACTCCCCCTTCCGTACTATTGCATCGCTGACACGTCTCCAAATAGCCCATATTTTTGCTCATTCTTATTTAATCTGCCAGATATTCCGTTTTTCATCCATCTCCCACCTATATTTTTAAAGGTAGAGTTTGATGAATTCTGCTTTTGGAAGATTTCCCAAACTCAATCAATCTCCCAGTGATTGGGATAAATCTCTCTATCCTCTTGTTTCCATGGCTGTGAACACTTTCATAAGTAATATCTTATTACCCATAATTCCTTGGGAGTGTGCCCTGTGAGCAGTGTCTGAGATGCCCAGTCAACCACCTGGACTACTCCCAGAGCTTTTCATGTTATCTTACATTCAGCACAGGTCTCATGGATCAGAAAATGCAGACTTGAGGAATACAAGGCAGTGGCTAGGAAGACAAATGTGAGGGATACTGGAGGAAAGGAAGAATACCCAGAAGCCGCCTAAGTGATGAGAACAGAGATGTAGAGTTAGCTATTCCCTTGGTAGCTTACTGATAGTGTGGCCCCTCCTCAGTTATTTGACCTGCCTAGATTCTTTATCAAAAGGACTAATGATATATATATTTTTTTCTCACGGGATGCCATGATGATGGAGATGGAATGAAGAGCCTGATGTAGAGCAGGTACTCCCATGGGCCGGCCTCTGTGGGACTCATTAGCTATTCAGAAATAAGTAAAGGGCATGGTGTGTAGTCTGGTCAGATGTGGGGTCTAGTAAGGCAACACTCAACAGCCAGTAATCATTAAGAATCGTTCTCACTAAAGAGCACATTCTGAAAACCAGAATGCATGAGCAAGGACCTGACTTGGTAATCAGCCCCTGTTGCAATGTTTTCAGGTAGTCACCTATGAAGAGACTCTAGAAAAAGCCCAGGGAACTGGAGCCCACGAGGACAGACAGAGTGTGTCAGCTGGAAACCAGGAAGCCGTGACTGACATTACTCAGAACAGGCTCTTCTCCAGGGACATGACACTGACTAGGCAGTCCCAAGAGAAGGGTAAGCTGCATTTCCTCTGTACTCTCTTCACCACTAAACTGTTCGAAAGGGAAGGATGGCCAAGCTCATAATTTACTTACAGATATATTATGGACATTTATTATGTACCTAGTAACTCACCTGGAAGGGCTGTCTCCCCAGAACACTGAAAAGATCACCAGATTTAGAGACAATGGGCTTGAGTTCAAGCCTACACATGTGAAATTAATAGTTGTGTGGTTACTTTTTATTCCAGTAGTTCAATTTCTCCATTAAAAAATGAATCTGGACATGGACCTCAGGAGTGTAATGAGAACCAGCATGACCTGTGACAATCTTGTTCTTACCTTGTCTACCTACTCACCCCTACTGTCACCATTGACAAGCTGATACGTCACACAGCATCACTAATGACCATTTCCACTACATCTTCTTCCTTCATGTTAGTCAAACCCTTGATACAAACAACAATAATTAAATCATACTTCGTTAAACCACTTACTTAAAGGAGGCTCACTTGGCAGAAATTCTAGGCCATAGCCAAGCCAGGGACACAGATAATTCCACAAGTACAAAGTATCCTGAGTTCTCTGAGGCAACTCTGTTTTTCAGGTAAAGTCCATTCCTATCAAGTCAAACTGGCAGCAAGCAGTGAGAGATACAACCTATTCTCCATAAGCCCCGAAGTATATTTTTGGTAAATTTTTGTCTTTCCAAAGATAAAAAGACATGACTCTTATGCTGGCTTTTACTGGGTCACATGCCATCACCAATTAAAAAACAATGATGCTCTGATGTAACCCAGCTATATCATATTCCCATTGAGCTAGGAGTGGGTAGAGTAATTTATACCAGACAACATTCTTAGTTACTTAATTCATTTTCTATTATTGTGAAGAGACACCATGACCAAGACAACATATAGAAGAGAGAGTTATAGGGGCCCTACAGTTCCAGAGGGTTAGAGTTCATGACCATCATGGCAGAAAACATGGCAGCAGACAGGCAGGTATGGTGCTGGATCAGTAGCTGACAGTTCATGTCTCACCCACAAGCATAAGGCTTGTGAGAAAGAGCCCACCCCAGAGACACACTTCTTCCAACAAGGCCACACCTTCTAATCCTTCTCAAATAGTTCTACTACCTGGGAACCAAGTACTCAAACATATGCTGTCTATATCTGTGACAGAAATATGTATTTAATTTACAAAAATATGAAAATTGCTTGTGCTGTAACTTTTCATAATAGTCTTAGACTAGAAATTGTCCAAATGAAGAGTAGAATGGAGGAGTTGGTATGACAGGATCCTGAAATCTCAGCACTGGGGGGACAGAGGTAGGAAGATGACAGGTTTGAAGCAGCTTGACTACATAGTAAGGTTGTGCCTTTTTTTTCTGATTTACTTTTTTATTTTATGTGCATTGGTGTTCTGTATGCATGTATGTCTGCTGGGTTCCCTGGAACTGGAGCTATAAACAGTCTGTGAGCTGCCGTGTGGGTCCTGGGAATTGAACCTGGATCTTCTGGAGGAGCAAGCAGACAGTGCTCCCAACTGCTGAGCCATCTCTCCAGCACCAGGACTGTGTCTCCTGAGGGAAAATGCAACCACAACAGAAAAATACAGTAGATAAATACATCACATCCTATTCACACACTAGAAGAGAAAACGTAGCCAAAGTAATGGACATATTACAACGATCTACAACAGCCTGGAAGAAGTTGTCAACATAATGCTGAACGAAGAGTGTAGCACCAAGGAGAACAAACTGCATTCCTGCATTAATACACAGGTCACAAGTAGGCAGACAGTACCCAATAGATTGGGAGTCAGACCATCTGCTACCCAGTGTTAAATGATACTGCCGCTGCTGGCTCTCAATCTGTGTCCATGAAGATGTTCACTTTGAGGCAACCCTTGGCCTGTAGTTCTGTGATGTGTTTTCCTATGTATCATGCTGTCATTAAACCTTAACACAGGACTTGAGAGGCAGTTCAGTTGCAGGGTCCTTGCCTAACATGTAAAGACTCCATGTTTGATTCACAACACTACAGGAAAAAAGCCAACAAACAAACAAAAGTATAAAAGTAAAAATTAGAAAAATGTTTTAAAAGCACAAACATAACACATACAAATATACAAATAACACATACAAATAACAAAGCAAAGAAACCTTGGTTAATCAAAAAGAAAGAGTTAAAAAGCAGAAAAAATTGTAAAATATAAGACAGTTGACACAAACATTTTAAAATATCAGTAAAGTTCTGCATGCTCAGCTTTCTAGTTTTAATATGCATTGGGATTGTTCAAAATTCAAGTGTGGGGATGTAGCAGTAAAAGAAACAGTAAAAACAAACAAACAAACAAACAAACAAAAAAACCTCTTTTCTTTATGCACAAAGGACTAAAGATCCTAGCTTTCATTCTGCACAAAAACCAACTCAAAAATGAATCAAAGATCTTAGTGTCACAATTAAAACCCTGAAGACATGAGAAGAAAACATGGGAAAACCTTAAAAATATAAATATAAGAAACAAGTTATACAAAATAATTGCAAGAACTGATGGGTGAAACTGTACAGATTTAAAAGCTTCTGACAGTGAAGGAAACAGCAGAATACACAGCATACAGAATGAGGAGAAATCTTTGCCAGCTATAATAGACTATTAATATCAAGAATGTGTATAGGTTTAAAATTCAACATGAAAAGGCCAATAATCCAACCAATAAATGGCACATGAACACAACTGGCACTGCTCAAAAGAAGCATAAAAATATTACATGTTAAAACATTCAAGATCCTCAACCATCAAAGAAATGTAAATCAAAACTATCGTGAGGTTCCATTTTACCCAATCAGAACAGCTAGCACAACTAAACAAACTGTAGAGAGATGTTTCACTGCTGGTGGAAATGTGAATTAGGGGAGCTCCTATGGAAATTGATACGGCAGAACCCCTCAAAAGCCTAAAATGGAACAGCCCAGGATAGAGTTATATCTGGCTGTATCCAGAAGGGGGTCTAAATGGGCACATCCCTGTTTTATCAGAGCACAGCTCAAAACAACCAAATCATAGTCACCGTCAACAGATGAATGGCTAAAGAAAATGGGACAGACAGACGGACACACACATATAAACACATACACACACACACACACACACGGGAGAGGGAAGAGTAAGTGAGTGAGTGAGTGTTATGTTTTAAAGAAGAATGAGGAGTCTGGGGAGAGAGGGAAATGGTTCCATTAGTCAATATCTTGCCTTGGTACGCATGAGAACTTGCGTTTGAACACTGTAACCTATGTTTAAAGAAGTCAACAGAAATGACAAAAACAGGGAATGTGGTATGCTTTGTAATTCCAGCACTGGAGAGACAGGGGCAGGTAAAATCTTGGGGGTTCACCAGCCAGCTCAGTGAGCTCCAGGCCAGCGAGAACACCTGTCTCGAGAAACAACACCCAAATATGACTGCTGGCTTCCACAGACACAGCCACTAACACAAGAACAAAACTATCATTTGCGGGAAATGGATAGAACCGGAGAGGGACTGAGAAAATCAAATGTACAAAAATACCACAATAAAGGGCGTTCTTTTGTACAATTAATATACAGTAATAAAGACTCCCTGTCCCCATGGGGCTTGCTTTCTGATCAAATGAGGCAGACAGCACATAAATAATAAAATATTCTTACGTGACATGGTGGCAAATTGTATAAAAAGGGAAAGACAGTTACAGAGGCCATGGATGTTGGAACCTGAATGTGCCTGTGGATGACCGCAACACCTTAAGTATATACAGACAGGAGAGCTAATCCTGCATTGTCAACTGAACTGCATTTTCAGTCGCACAGGAGACACGCTTCAGGGCATGTCTACGAAGGAATTTCCTGAGAGATTTAGCAGGAGAGGCTAATCTCACCATCCCACATTCTAGGGTTCTGGACTGAATAAAAACAGAAAAAAAGAGAAAGCAAACTGGGCAACAGCATCCATCTCTCTCTGCTACCTGGTTGCAGATGTAGTGTGAAGAGCCACTGAATGTCCCTACTGCTATTGCTTTCCTGCCATGATGGGCTGTAGACCAGATGAAACTCAGCATTCCTTAAGTTGCATGTGTCGGGTGTTTTGTCCTAGCAATAAAAATAGCAGAGGCTTGTGTGTCTCTGATATAAGAATATTCTAAGGAGAAGGGAAAAGGGAGCAAACAGTTCCAGGCTAGAGCTGATCACAGGTGTTGGTGGAGGTAGCAAGGTCCCTGTAACTAGAACAGAGAAGAGAGAAGGGAAGAATAAGACAAGCAAAGGGTTTTATAAATCGCCACGAGAGCTTTGGCTTTTGCTCTCAGTAGGACTTTTTAAGCCAGAGAGCGCTTCCAGCACAAATTAAAAGTCATGATCAGAGTTGATTTTAAAGAACCACCTTGCTGAGAATAGGACATAGGCTCAGTCAATCTGTTACTATTGTAGTGATTTAGGTGAGAGGTTGGTGAGGGTTCTGTGGTAGAATTATGCCTGCATTTATGGTAAAGTCTTGTTAGACAAATGTTGACTCTAAAGGAGTAGCAATTTCTTAAAAAGAAATCATGAGAATAGTTTGAAATCCAATATGCCTAGGACAACCAAATGGAAATGCCATGAAAGATTATGGCGGATCTGGAACTGACTGATGTGTCCTTTGAAGGCATACATCTGTGAATTATATTCCTAAGATGATTCCACAATGCATTTCCTAAACCAATAAGAAAAATTAAGAAAAGCAAAGAAAGGGAGTTGGAGATGGCTCAGTGGTTAAAAGCACTTGGTCTTTCAGAGGATCTGGGTTTGGTTACCCAGCGCCCACATGGTGGAGCCATAACTGCAGCTCCAGGGGATCCAACACCCTCTCCTGGCCTCTGCAGGCACCTGGTACATATGCAATATACCCACATACATGCGGGCAAAAAACTTATACCCAGAAAGTAGAATAAATACATTTTTATAAAAGAAAGATAAAAAATGCTCATTAATGTGCTTAGCGTCTTTATTTTTGCTGGACCTATTCTGATAACGTCTATAGAAAAAGCAGGCCTTCTTCCTCTGGGAACTGAGACTCTTTGAAATAGTTTGGGGGTCATATACTTCTTGCAATGGGATAAAAATTTTCTCATTTGATTCATTTAATTAATAGATGCAAGTCACTTTGCTTATTGCATATTTCTAGATACACTTCTTACGATAAGCGGTTCATGTTTGAAATGGAAATAGCTCTGAGTCACCCACACAGCCTAAATATGAAGCTACACCAACTGATGAGGAGCTGAGGCAGGTTTGTGACTAATGGCAAGTTCACAGCTGAGAAATACCTGCATTTATCAGGCTGTGCCGACAATCCCTTATAGGCTGGCTCTTCAGAGTGGCATGTGACCTTCCGGTTAATTCTGTCATTAACCTTCCACGTTGGCATGTGTTCAGTTAACTCACTTAAACTATAAGAAAGGAAAAAAAAAAAAAAAAAACTACCAAAACACTAGAAACGGCCCTTTGGATGGTAGATAAAATCTCCAGAGCTGAAGGCCTTCAACAGAGGTCAGAAGTAACCAGAGAGTCGTTTCTCTGGGGAAGAGCTCTGGTTTGCCAGGTAATTAACACTCATTATGAATATACACTCAGTCCTTACACAGCCCTATGGAAGGGGCTGTTATCATTGTCCTACCTTCTGGGAGATGTAGCAGGCTCAGCAAGTGGCTTAGCCAGGATCATGCAGATCATGTTGTCAGTTTCATTGGCACAGTGACTAAACTAAGAAAAGGTTGGATTTGGCTCATAGTTTTAGAGGCTTTACTCCACAGCCCTTGGCTCTGCTACGTTTAGGCCTGCGGTAGGGCAGAACATCACGATGGTGAAAGCATGTGGAGGAGGAAGTGGGTCATGGTGGGCAGGAAGGATAAGGGATAGCCTTTAAAGGGTTGCCCCTTCCTGACCCATTTCCTCTCACCAGGCGTCATCTGCTGAAGTTTCCAGGATGTAACAAAATACTGTCTCCACTGACGACAGGGCGTTGCACCCATGAGCCTAGGGGGGTCTCTTGCTCAAATGCGGAGATGGCATTCCAGTTTCATCCCCGCTAGTCTGCCTTTCTCTTGCTGTTGCTCCACTGCTGGGGACAAGCACAGATGTGTTCCTATTTCCCTGACAGGAGGGTATATGGAGGCTTTGGAGGTGACGAAAGAAGCCCCAAGTCCAACCACCATTAGGTCAGACTCCTCTTCAGAGAAGACTTACGATGACGTGGATTGTTCCAGAGCAGACACGTAAGTACATTCTGCCCTTCACGACGACGAAGGCGATGCGGGGGCGAAGCTGCGGTAGACTCGTAATGGTCTTCATTTCTTTCTCCACAGACCAAAAAGGGACTTCTCCAGCTCGTTCGCCTCAGACAGCGGTAAGTGCTGCTTTGAACTGCAGAATGCTTCCCGGGCTGAGACGGTGATCAGAGTCCTTCATCTGGACACATTTCCAGTGATTAAAAACTGGGTGTCGAGATTGTAAACTAAGAGCAGCAGTCCTGAGGCAAGGGTTCGGCGGAGGGAATGGTCTTCTTGCGGCAGAAAGCAACTTCCCACGAAACTGCCCTTTTTGTGCTGTCTTCATAGCACAAGGGCCATAGGTGCTATATGTTTTTAAAATATCAGCAGCGCTTCCTAGTACTGGCTAATTTTTAACCATGTGTATGTCAAGCCGAGGGTATGTGCCTGTGTGTACAAGTGCCTGCAGAGGCCTGTCAGAGTTGGGTTCCCTGGAGCTGGAGTTTCGGGTTTTTGTTTTGTTTTTTTTTTTTTTTATCCAACTGATGTGAGTGTAGGGACTGAATTTGGCTCCTCTGCAATAAAAGTCTGCAGCCCCAACTTCCTACTGCTTTAATAGCATATCAACATGGCCTAAAAGCTCTTCATGGCCTTCCCCTCTCCCCAATGTCTGTGTGATTCCATTTCACACTATATTCAGTTTTTCCGTTTGAGTGGCTCCCCCCGTTGATTTTTCTCTGCTTCTGCAATTGCCACCCAAAAGGTGGTGACCCCCGTTTAAAGTTACACTTGCCTTCTTGGGATACCTTAAGTGGCCATTATCTTCCTTATTTTGTTTTTATTCTTGGCACTCTCAGACATTTGCATAAAGAATTTTACTTGCTTCCGTGACCTTTTCTCCTCCTCCTTCCCCCACTGAAATTTTTCTCCCCAACAAGTCCCTTCTCCTACTTTCATGCCTTCTTTTCGTGTGTGAACCACTGAGTTTGAGTTTCTTCCGGGAGCTTGAGTGAATTATTTACTGGAGCAAAGTTGACTTATCAGTAGCTATGACATGAAATACCCTCCCTGCAAAATGGGCTAGTAGTCCATCTAAGTGGAGTGTCCTGCAGGTCCTCCCTCTCCTCAATGAAACACTGATGGGCCCAACCTTATGCAGATGTGTGAGGATCACCACAGCTGTGGTTACTTTGTGCATGTCGTGACCAGAAGATGTCTTTTGGGGGCACACCTCTTACAGTGTTTCAGCTCCCTTTCCCACAGTGTTCCATAAGCCTTGTAGATGGTGATCCAGCTGTCTCATTTAGGGCCAAGCCCTCCACCACCACTAAACTCTTGGTGCTTTGGCCAGTTTTACAGTTTTACACTACAAGCTACCTGTTGCTATAAGAAGATTATCTGATGAAGGCTGGGCGCTGCCTTCATCTACAGATATAAGCTCAAGTATCTAGACAGCAGTTTGAGAACAACAACAATACATAGTAAGTCTAGAAGACGGCTCAGTGGTTAAAAGATCTTGTTCTTCCAGAGAACTGAGGTTCAATTCCCAGCACCCATATGGCAGCTCACAACCATCTGTAACTCTAATTCCAGGCTATCTCATGCCCTCTTCTGGCTTTCATGGGCACTAGGCATACATGTAGTACACAGACTATATAAAGGAAAGTGCACATAAGAGAATATTTTTTTAAAAAGTAACAGTAGTTTCCCCTAGGGCTAATGGCCCCCAGCCCCCATGCATCTACCCTTTACCAGGTTTATAGAACCAAGCATGAGTTTCTTCCTGAGAAGTGGGCATCAAAACCAATTAGAAAGTGGTTAGTTATCACCATACCAGTAATGTCAGGCCTGGCAGGCCATTATGGTAGCTTGCAGGATTCACAGGCAGATAAAACCATTTTTTTTTCTCCCTCAGTAGGCTACAAAGCACATTCTGGCACCATGAAAGCTATACAGTGAGGGGGAAGCGTCTCCCTCAGCTCTAGCTTGATTCTTCTTTGTCCTAGGACCAAAACGTGTGTTGTCTTCAGGAATAGTCTCATCACCAAGTTCCATTTGACAACCAAGAACAATGGAAGTTGCTCATATTGTACTGGAAGACTCTGAGGTCCCCATGACCCACACTTATAGGGAGATTTTCATTTAATAAACCATGGCTTCTGGGAAAAGTATTACCCACCCATAGAGGGTGTGTTAGTTACTGATCTATTGCTGTGAAGAAACACCATATCCAAGGCTCATAAAAGAAAGCATTTACCTGGAAGCTTGCTTATAGTTTTAGAGGGTTAGTCCTTGATCATCATGGCAGGAAGCAGACAGGCATGGCACTGAGGCAGTAGCTTCACACCCTGGATCCAAGGGCAGTAGGAAGGGAAAGAGGGAAGCAGCGTGGGAGAAACTGAGAGAAAGAAAAAGACTAATAGAAAGAGAGAAATAGACAGACACAGAGAGATAGAGAAAGAGAAGAAGAAGAAGAAGAAGAAGAAGAAGAAGAAGAAGAAGAAGAAGAAGAAGAAGAAGAAGAAGGAGAAGGAGAAGAAGGAGAGAGAAGATGAGACTTTCATGGAGTTTTGAAGTCTCAAAGTCCATTCCAAGTGTCATAACTCCTCTGACAAGGCCACACCTCCTTCCTAAACAGTTCCACTCGCTGCTGACTAAACATTCAAATATATGAGCCTCTGGGACTCTTCATAAACAACTACAGAGGATACCTACCTTCCAGCTAGTTTTTCAGGCAGTATTTCCTAATAACTTATAAAATAACAGGTTGTCATATTTTTCTTTTTTAGATTTCCATATTTTTTGGTTACCTCTTGCCTTTCTCCCTTTTCTCCTGTCTTCTTTCCTATTTCCTGCTTAGACCTACATAGTGAGTTCCAGGAGAATCTGGGCTAAAGATTGGGACAGTTTCTTTCTTCGTAATAGATCACATACACGTGCACAAACACACACACACACACACACACACACACGCACACACACACACACAGGCTAATCAGATACTATTCTGGGCTGCCTCCTTAGAATGTATAAATTTGACATATAGAAACAGCCTTAAGAAACAGTCCAATACTCACCTTTTAAAGAGAGAACAGAGGTACAGGGAAATTGAATAACTCTGTGTTCCCGCCAAATTTGAAACCTTAACATTTATTCCTTGAATCCAGTACTATTTCCTTTGGACTCAGCTTCCAGGCTATAGGTAGTGTCCATCTGTGTGTATTAAGCTTATGTGTTAGGTTGGAACAAAGGAAGACATTTTTCACTATGCATGGGCTTCCTTTGTTTCCCCAGAATTTAGTATGCTATTTCATGCACACAAGACTACAGCTGTTCTGTACTAACTGTGGGAAGGAGGTATGGTGAAAGGAAGGTATCTGTTGAGAAATAGCTTTCCTTCGCTGAACCAGATCACACATGGAATCAGGCAGGAGACAGGCCCAATTCTTCTCATCTGTACAAGTCTTTATATATGTTTATGGATTTCTACCATGTGTTTATGAAAACATACACAATTTCACAAAACCCACTTTAACTAAATAAAGTTGGAAGTGCTTTGCAGCTTCTAAGTATTCATTCATTTTTGTGTGTGTTCCTTAATTTCAGAAGAAAATAGTGAGGAAATTTATGAAGACATCTACAAAGCAAAGAACAATGACCTCAAAACAGAGTGAGTGTCTTTCTTAAATTTGGATTGTAGGCTGAAGTTGTTTTCCTGTTTATCTAGTAAGCCACGGTTTAAGACATGGCCCCATCCTACACCACCATTGTTGAGGGAAGATTATATAAAGTGCTGTTAAGCTGTTGTCAATTGGCATTGTCAATCGGCAACATATTCGTTACTGTTTACAATCGCACACCATAAGAGTGAAGATTCTTTGCTTTCTCCTTTGAGAAAAAAAAAATGTCCATTTTCTAGACTAGAGAACTTTTATATCATGTGTTAAGAAGTAGTTGAGACAGGGAAAGTAAATAACAGTAGACTTTGCCTTGACGTTATAGCTGGTTTCCCAGGGACAAAACAATAACTGTAACTTAGCCCTTATCTTTGTGAGCTAGTCAGAGAGACTCTGGGATTTAGCACTGGTGTTGCAGATGACGTTTGTTCAAATGACCAACATTGGTCAAGTTTAGTTATAAAGAGAGAGAAAACAGCATACTCGATGGTGAGGAGTCTGGCGGGAAAGGGTGCAGTGATCCTGGGCTGGTTATGTGAGTGAACTCCCTTTTGTCTCCTTCCCCCTAACCAAAAGGATATCAGCTGGCCCATCCATATGGCACCTGCTGTATACTCAGTTACTGAAGAGTCCGCTAAACATCAGTGATGGCAATTTCAGGAGCCAGTAATGCCTCTGATGCTGTCTCCAGTACCATTTAGAGAGTTTCCCCTAAGTTATTTTCTCTTTGGGAAAGGAAGATTTGCTTCATAAGCTCTACAAAAATGTTTGCGGTAGACGAATGTTTGTACACACTGTAATTATTCTATCCACAGTTGCCTCAGATATGCGTCCTATCAGGATCTCAGCAGACTTCCCTCTTAGCGGTGGAGGCATTTCCTTGTCCTTCCTTGAGGGAGTCTGTTTTGGGCATGAGGCTGATGTCTCTGATCCTTGGTGATCCAACAGCGCTCTATCCCTATTCCAGTACTCTCTCAAACACCCTGTTGTTTTATCTTTCCACTCCTCTTAGTGTAGACGGACGAGGAGCACTGAGAAGACTGCAGCAGCTCTTCAGAAAAGAAAGGGGTGTACTCAGAGTGAAAAAGACCAAGCCAAAAGAAAATGTCAGGCCAACGGTCCCCTTAGCCTTTCTTCCCGTAGAGTTTCAGCAATACTGGCCTCGCGGACACATGGGCTGCTACTTCCCATCCAGTTCTCAGCACCAGTGACAAGAGTTATCAAAGACCCCGGTTACATGACACCGTAAGAAACTAGTGAGAAGAAAAAAAAAATTACCAGAATAAGCAGGCAAAATCCAGAATGGAAAATTTGTCGTCATCCTTGACACCTCAGGATGTCACTAAACGTTCTATATTAGTAGTTAGGTCCTTTCGCGGTCTCTTGGGCTACACAGGTTCCAGGGGTCTTACTTGTGCACACCATAATTTACTTTGTCTCCCTTGAAAGCAGCAATGTGTGTGTGACGTGAACATGAGTGTCCTGGTCTGTGAAGCTCACAGTCTTGGACTTAGAAAGCCAACCCCTCTTAACCCCAGCCGGCCTCACGTAACCTCCACTCTTAGTCTTTGGGAAATTTCCAAGATCACCAGCAGTGAAAGAGACAGGAGTTTCTTCCATGTGTACTCATGGGACTTGGTTCCCTCATGGATGCAGTGAAAGGGGGAGCTGTGCGGTCTTTGGAGACATTTCTCTCTTTCTGCAACATCGATAGATAGGCAGGTCTAGAGTTGTACTTTGTGAGGGCAATTTGCCAAGATATCATCTGCATTGAGATGGTATGAAGCTATTCTCTTGTCAAGTCTTTACCAGTTATAAAGCCTTGAAGTTTTGTGATTTTAATCCTACTTGTCTGCTGGAGCAAGATCTTCCCAAGAGTTCCAAGTAGACCTGAGTGTGGGTACTGTAGTTCCCATTATACCAGAAGGGACTCTGTTACTTTACTTTCTGTCTCCCTTCAAGACGGAAACTACCTCGTCATCTTACTCATCCAGCATAAGGGCCTGTCTTGTGGCCACTATAAAAATACCTGTAGTATTGAGTTGAAATTAAAGACTTCAAATACATAGGTTTTTCTTTCTTTTTTTTTTTTCTTTCCCTTTTCCTATCACACATCTCTTTCCATCTGACCTCCTTAGCAACGAAAGAACAGAACCAAATCACACTGGACTTCCTATTCTCTTCCACTTAGCCATTTGCCATCTTACATTTCCATCTGACCTGGGTTCTCTGTGGAAGTCTTCCTCTGGCTTAAAATACACAGCCAGACTGTGTATTTTATGTATGCAGTCCCCATGGTGTTTTCTGTACACTGTTCCTTCTCATCATTGCTCGTGGTCATTTAGTATTGGATCCTATGGATGCAGGGCAGCCTTGACTGATCTAGTTAAGAAGTGGGTTACAGGGATTCCACAGGGACAAATGAGCTCGTTTGGAATGGGGAAGGGGTTATCACAACAGGGCTACAGGAGTCTCACTTTGCATCCTTGCCTAGATGCAACCATCTGGACCAGCACACCTGCCATCAGAATGGCGTTTTGGATATATCTGCTAATGATCATGGCTTTTTTTTCCTTGACCCTTTTTGTCTTTTCTTCATTAGGAATGGATTTTCCATGTCACTGCCTGACCTAGGTAAGTGACATTCACTTGCTGTTGTCCACCAGTATTGCTGTCTTCAGGATTGGTGTACTAAGGAGCATGGGAAGAGCATTAGTAATCTGTCCTGCTTTTCCAATGAAAATGGACCCATCAGAATGAAAGAAGATATCTCAAACAATGACACTTCTCCTTTGGAGAAGTGAGGGATATTTTCCTGGCATTTCCATAAGCAGACGTTACTCTCTTTATAGAAGGCTGTAAGACCCACAGACCATGCTTTATGATTGGGATTTGAACCCAAGTCTCTCTGAGTATGATGATTAGGCATTCCGTACTGATCCACACTCCTTTGATGGATTTGATAGCCAGCGTAAGACACGATAAACATCACAGTGCCTGACATATGGGATGCTCTCAGGACGTGTCCAGTACACGGAATTTGTCAATAAACAAAGACTGTGTGGTTTTTGTTCATTGGTGTTTGTTCACAGGCACTAGCTATTTAGTAACTTTCATTTTTAACTGTGACTCAGTGATTCAAACATATACTTCAGAAATATAAGCTACCAAACTAAATAACAAAGGTTGTATTGACCTGATGAAGTTGTAGCTCTCCCAAATATTGTCATAAAACACTTAAAGGGCAACTTAGAATATTACAGATGGTTTAGCCCTAGTCTCCAAAACCACAAACCAAACTTGCTCCACAATCTGAAATTTTATTGCTACCATAATTGAAAACTTCTACACCTGTCTTCATGCAACGGGTGTGTCACATGTCAAGGCACAGTAAAATATTGTATGAAATTACCATTAGAATATGTATAGTAGGTGTATATGAAACATTAACTAATTTCAAGTTTATATTTGACTTCTATTTCCATGATATCATCTCTATATTTCTCACTGTAAATATGCAAATACTCTAAAATCCAAAAATATTTGCTGTCTGATATTTTCTGTCTCAAAGCGCTTAAAATATGGGATTTTGAGCCTATACATCCACCGAAAGCTTAAATGTCCTGAGGGAAATTAGTAAAGCTTAAGAAAAATTACGAATAATTGGACATGAATTGTGAATATATCAAAATGTCCCAAGCTTTTTCAAACAGTGAATCATCTGAGAATAATGGAATTCTATATTGCATGGAAGTGTGAACATTACAAGCTGGAAATGTCTAATTATCATTATGTACTAATTCAGACTCAATGTAATACAACAGTATTGCAAAGAAACAAATGGTTTGAAATATGAATGTGTGTGTGTGTGTGTGTGTGTGTGTGTGTGTGTGTGTGTGTGTGTTGTGGGGGGAAATCAGCAAATATATTCCCACACCCCACAGGGTATTAAGAAAAGTCCCCTCAATACTCTAGCAATATAAATCATTTTTCAGTTTCAGATAACAGGGACAACTTACAATTCAATGAAATCAATTTGATGTAAATGCACTTGCAGTTCAGATATTCAGAGATCTGGCTGCTCCCCACCACCACCCCAAAGAGATTCATTTTGCTCCAGCCTGTCTCTGTAATCAGATAGAAGGCTTGAGGATACATCTGGATAATTAGGTCATTGTGGGTAATTTGGAAAACCCGGCCTGTATGATGAATACTTAATTGTTTTTTTTTTTTTTTTTAATCTTGTCTGTGCCCTAGGACCTAGGTCTCAGGAAGTTATCATCTATGATGATGTGGACACAAGTGAGAAAGAACTGAAGTAAGTCAGTTTACTTTGCTGGCCATCCCTGCTGGGGCCAGCCACTGCCTGATGCTTTGCTAAATACAGTCAGAGACCCAGCTCCTGAGAGACTTGGACAAAAGGTGCTATTCTATTCCCTCCGTTCTGAAGAGAAAACAATGAATACACCCACTGGTGATCCATCAATGGTACCAAGCCAAAGGCACTGGAGCTTTGAGGTCTCTGTTTCTTACCTCTGAGTATTGAAAATTTCTACACATTTAAATAGTAATCTTTTGCCTACACTGTAAAACACAGGAAAACAAGGGCTGTTTGATGGAATAGTTTTCAAAACTAAATCACTATTAATCTGTAGAAAGGAAGCCACCCTCAGACTCAGCCCCTCACAGCTTCTGGCTGTCTTCCGCTCCATCTCCACCGAGCAGCTGGTGATGGAGGCCTCTCGTTTTCACTCACCTGTCCCTGCCCGCTGTCCCTGGATTCATGCTGCGTCTTGGTAAAGCTGCTAATAAACCCTTGTTAAACCCAAGAGGCATTCTTAAGATCATACCATACACTTTTTTGACAGTGTTTTCACATCTTGGCCATGCCATCCCTAGAGGAAAAAAGCATCTTGTTCTTCTCATGTCTCCCTGGAATGATTTCACATTCCTCCTCTTGGCTTGTCTGAAGCCTTGTGTGTGGGTTCTGGCTTTCTCGCCCAGGCCTTAAATATCAACTGTTCTTAAGAAGGCCCTACAACAGTTCTATTCTCCCTTGTTTTCCCTCTTTGCAGGACTGAGGATTGCTGCGAGGCCTCATGTATGCGAGGCAAGCCCCCTCTACAGCCTTCATCCTTTCATTTTCTTCAGGGTTTTCCAAGTTGATCAAGCTGGCCTTGAACTTGGGATATTCCTGCCTTAGATTCCCAAGTGGCTTGAACTGAATCCCAGTCTTCCTTCCTGTATATTTTTTTTAGTGTTCTCTCACCTACACCCAAGGCTTCAATTTTAACCAAAATATCAAAATTTATATTTTAAGGTTAGATTTTTTTTTTCTGAGTTCCAATAAGCCTGGAGGGCAACACAGCCTAAGCTCAGGAGGTTTGTAATAATGCAGAATATAATTTTTTATTATCCACATTTCTCTTCTAATCTCTATGGTAGTGATTAGAAGCATAGTTGCCCTCAGGCCTTATTCCTGATTTCCTCAGTTCTCCTGCCTGCCCTCTCACATTTTTGTCCTAATGTCTCTCAAATTGTTCTCACTTCTCCTCTCCCACCACACAGACACAACCCCGTCCTTTCTTGCTTTATAATAGACTCCTGCAAATGTCCCTGTGTGGCCATTTTACTTCCATTTCAGTTTTTTTCTAAAGTTTTAAAGTTACAAATATAGTTATGCCACAAAAGCCATAATCTACCAGCTTTCAACATTCAGTGCTTATGCATCATTCTCAAGATACAGTCCACACTGGCCCGGGCAACTCCTCAGTCTCACCTGTACTCCTCCATTCCACACTACTGGGGTTTCTTGAGCTCCAAAACTGTCCAATATTTCCAACCTTCGAGCATTCAACACCACTAATTCATTTAACAAATCTTACTGATCATGTAATCTGTGCCAGATATTGGGTATAAGGTAATTCGCAGACAAGAAATAGTACTTGGTTTGGGGGAGGAACAGTTTTTGTCCAATAAATGAGTGAAAAAAAATCTACAGTTATGCATTGGAATTTGGTTGTGTTGAAGCAGAATATTTAAAAATACATACAGGTGTGTGGGAAGCATTCTACACAACTTTCATTATTTTATGTTATTTTACTTTATTCAGGGCTTTGCCAAATTGCCCAAGCTGAACTTGAACTTGGGATGAATCTGCCTTAGATTCCCAAGCTGCTCAAATTACAGGTGTGATACCCCGGGCCTTCGCTTCCTTATAGTTTTTGGGTGTTCTCTCATCCATGCCCGAGACTTCAATGATAATCATCATAGAGATGATCTCAAAGTTTATATTTTGAGGTCAGATTTTTTTTTTTTTTTCTGAGTCCCAGTAAGCACAGAGAGGTGTTTGATCCTAACTTACAGTAGATCACTCAGGTGACCTCGGAGATCAGAGGTGCTGGATCCCATGCAGCTGGAGTTACAGGCAGTTGTGGGGTGGGAGCCGCACTGGGTTCTGTGTAAGAGCGGCACGCGCTCGTGATCGCTTACCTTCCCTCCAGCCCCTGTGCCACATTTTCGTTTCCCACTCATCTGTTGACAGGCTGGTTCCAACTCCTTGTTACTGTGAATGCTGCACCCAAGAACACAGTGTGCAAATGTCACAGTAGCAGACGGGAGTCCTTTGGGGATATGCCCAAGAGCCTGGTCATGTGGCAACTTTATTTTTAAGTCTTTTAGAAACCTCCATACTTATTTCTAGAGTGGCTATGCTAATTTGCACTCGCAAGAATTCAGTTTTGGTTATATTACCCAGTCCTACCAGGGCAAAGAGCATCCTTAGCCATTTCTACTGGGGTGAAGAGTACCCTTAGCCACTGCGGCCAGGGTGAGGTGCATCCTTAGCCATTGACGAATAGCACGGTTACTAGTAGGAGTCCCATTTAGAGACTCATCTTATATATGAGTCTAATTTCATTTCTGGTTTCAAATTTGGGCCACTGAGAAGTTGGCAGATTCTGGCCTCTGGGCCAGTGTGATCTGCTATTTGTTTTTGCAAATGAAGTCACAACAGTAGAACAAATAGTTGCTATAGAGAATGTAGCCGGTAAAGCCGAAGGTGTTCCCTGTATGGCCCTGCTGTGAGTGTGGAGGTGGACTTCTAGCTGGTATTTAGACTACACTGGTCAGTGACCTAGAAAGCATAGGTGGTTTATAAATGTTGACTGGTTCGACCTCAGTGTCCTCAAACATTTCTCTCCTCAGAGATGAAGATCAGTCAAAAACCTGGAAGGCCAAGTTTTTTACAACAAAAAGGGGAGTAAAGGGGAAGAAAGGCAGCGATGGATCCAAAAGGTAAGAACACGAATGCACTTAAAACTTGGCTGCTGCAGTTTCTTCTCTTGCTACCTGTCTGACCCGAGGGGAGTCCATAACTTTGATTTTCAGGTTCCTCAACTGCAAGTGAGAACCAGCAGCTTGCCTCACAGTAAGTATAGCTGAGAGGACTAAAAGAGACAAAGGCAGAAATACACAGTTCCGTACACTCATACCCAACTTCCTCCATATTCTCCATCGATGACGAGGAACAAGAAAGCATGGGAGGTAGCCCCTGGCAAACAACGAAGGACCTCCAGCCTTCTTGTCTTTTAGGACATAGGAGCATCCCTCCAGTAGAACAGAGCTTAAGTAGAATATCAGCTAGGACTAACTTTGCTAAAATATAAGTTTACTTATGATGGCAGTTAATGTTAGACTGTAATTAGAACACTCCATCAGCTGGGGAGCTAACCTTCACTCATGCCATCCAGACTGCACCAGCTGCTGGGGAGGGCATGGACTCTACCACCTCAGAGCTCATTTAGCTATATGCCCCCCTTCCCAGAGGCCAGTACATGAGGCAGGATCTGGGGGACTTCGACACACTTCTTGGGGAAACTCCTGGTAAATAGTGACTTGCCTGTATCTGCCTGATTTCCTACGGTATCCCAAGAGTAGTCAGACATTTGTTTTTGGCAAATTGAAACGCAGAGGGGCAAAAGCAGCTCTTCCCTTAAGTTTATTTTTCCCAATTTTAGAAAGAGGTATTCAGACCAGAAGAGCTGTTTTTTTGTTGTTGTTGTGTTTTTTCACATTACACATCATACTTGCTTGCAAAGCTAAAGAGAAGTCCACGAAGTGCACTGTCAGGAAGGCTTCTAAATCCTCGTCCGACACAGTTTTATCTGCCATCAATATACATCTGTCTTTGGGAGAAACAATTTTCTAGTACTTTTTTCTTAAGCTGACTTAATACATTCTCACCATGAAAATGCAATAATGAGGCTATCGTCGTTTCTGAAGAGCAATGGGTCAATGCTTAGACCCTTTTATAATGGATTCTGGGGCAACTTACTCTAGCATTAAGTAAGGTGTTTTTCTGCATTAGTTAACTGGCCGCTTATTCTACCATTAAGTACAAAGTCTGGGTGACTATAAAGACATGCATGACTCAGACAGACACTGTAACGTTGAGGGAATGTATACAATGCTAATGGAACTGTCATTTTGCTGTAGGTAGTTTAGACCTGAAGGGTGGTCAAGGGTCTGGGAGGGACATTTCCAGGTCCTTGGCTTCTTATTCAATAAAAAAAAAAAATAAAACCCAACACCTGTTTTACTGAGGAAGTATTGAGGAAACTCTATTCAAAGCAAAGAGCCAGAAAGTGAGCAGCAGATCTTAAGGGACCCAAGTTATTGTTGGAGACGTTTCTTTTTAATGAAATCCAAGAGAAGAGTGGCCAGCTGCTCAACGGTGTAGTTTGAGCAGTTTTCTTAGATTAGGTTATATAATATGTCTCCTGTGCATGTCCTATCCTCCAAAGCATCTGATTTTAATCATGTGTGTGCCTAGCTATGGGATAAGTATAAAATGGTAAATAAGGGATTCTCCCTAACCGTTCACTCGGGGACATGGCTATCTTTATCACACATGTACCTAAAGCCAGTTCAGGCCAGATCTGCTTTCCTATTTCTGTAGCGGGACATACGCAAAGTATAACTGAATACAGTCTAAGTTTGATGGTCATTCACAGTGTGTGTGTGTGGGGGGGGGTATACGCAGTATGATGCGGATTTGTTCCGAGATATGTGTGTGTGTGATAAGAATCTCAAGCTGTCAAGTGCATTGCAGCCCAAATGAAGTAGGGTCTCAAGTTGCTAAACTATGCCATATGCTTGCCTACCAAAATAATCTGCAACAAATGTGGCTGGGACTAGAATCTTGGGAAGGCATACCCCAATACAGAAGATACTGCTCATTAAAAGTGACTAAAACTTGGGTGATATTACCCCTTCTGTCCATGTATGAAAGTGTTAAATAGAACCAAACTCCATTTGTAAAGCAGGAGGCAGGACAAGGGAAGGGTCTCCAGTCAGCTTCTGGTGTAAGCTAGTCTGTTCTGTGTGCTTAAAACCTCACCCATGTTTGCTGCATTGTGCTGTATTGTCTTCATTCTGTCCATATTCCTTACTTTTCCTGTTGCTGTTGATAAAATATCCCCAACTCAACTTAAGAAAGAAAACATTTATTTTGGCTCATAGTTCAAGGGAGGGTACAGTCCATCACCCCAGATCTTGTTTCTTTACACTGAAAGGACACAAAATCCAGAGCTAATTGTCAAAAACCAGTTAGCTCCCTTATTGCGGTGTTTTATGATAAATGTCCCCCACAATCTCAGGCAGGCGAATACTCAGTTCCAGTTGATGGCACTGTTTTGGTACGTTTAGAAGAGGTGGCATTGCTGAAGGAAGTATGCCGCTTGGAGATAGACTTTGAGAGTTTAAAGACTCACGTCGTTTCTAGTTTGTTCTCAACCTGGTGCCTACTGTTCTAGCCACCATGCCTCCCAGTTCCCTGCCATGACAGACTTTAATCCCCCAGGAATCATTAAGCCCAAATGAACGCTTCCTCCTATAAGATGCCTTAGTCATGGTGCTTTCTCACTGCAATGGAAAAAAGAAAAGTAACTGATAAAAGCAAGTAATACACCTACTATTCTATAAAACATGTTATTTTCTCCTAAGCCACTGCTCCTGCACACAATCATTCTCTATATCAAGTTGATTGTATCCCATGCTTGCTTGCTATCAAAGATATTCTTAGAGAGATATAGCTCAGTGGTGGAATGCTCACTTAGTATATTTGAAGCACTGGGTTTGATCTTCAGCACTGAGAAAAACAACACATATGTATGCATTAAACAGAAAATAATTGGTATTACCTTTTTCAGTAGTTACGACAATCTGCTTTAGTAGGAGGGTTTATGTGTACACAGACAGGTGTATGTGTACATAGGCAGGTGAATATATCTGTGATTAATATATATATAATGTAAAATTATACACTCATGAACTTGTACCCCAGTTTATCCTGAAGCAGGATGAGTTCATAGACTCACAAATTGAGGACTTGCTATGCTACAGTTAATCCAACCCATGTTATTTCTTGCCAGTTTTTCTCCCAGAAATTTCTTCAGAACTAAGAAGCAAAACTTTATAAAGAACAGAATGGAAAAAGAAGAAAAACTTTTCAGAGAAAGATTTCAGGTATGTTCTCTTTTCTGAAAATGAAAATTAACAGGAAATGAATGCTGCTGACAATCACAAACTTCCACTCTAAGGCGCCATTGGTTTGCTGTGTCTTAGCGACTCTGAGATAAAGACATGGTCTTTTTTATAGCAATCTGATATGTTCCTATGTTGGCATGCATGTGCACATTGCTTTTCCAACTGGTAAAAGTTCTAAAGTGTTGCTTAAGGTGGCATTCAAACCTCACCCCCTCAGCACATTTGCACCGTGCTGTTTGGAAGGAGAGCCTTTCACATTTCAGCTCCCAAAGTATAGGACACATTGTGTTTGAGCAGTAGTGGCTCATCCATTCGAGTGTGGCAGCATCTCAAACTCACGTCTCCCATTAGACGTGATTTCCCACTACTGGTCCTTCCTGATGTCATAGTCTGCCAAAGTAAGAACTTCTGAATTCAGGAAGCATTTTAAACACCATCCATGCGCTAGACAGTGGGTTAAGAGAGGCAAACTCTGTAAAGAGGAGGCTGTATAAAGTCAGAGCTCTACCAGCAGTGTCTCCTGATAGCTTCCTCAGGTGATGAGCACAGCTCGTCTGTTTCTTCGCATCCTTTCTGACTCTGCTCTTTCTGCTTTGGCAACAAATTCCACATAGTTTTGTTCCTAAGAGCTTGTCCTCTGCCTCCCCTTCCATCCCCTTCCTTCAGGGACCAGCTTGGTCTACTCCACATCTGACATGCCCCTGGTACTTCCTCCATTTGGTGTGTTCACTTATCAAGACTCCAATTGAGGCATCTTCTCATTCCAGAAAGACCTGCTTAAACCTTCTGATTAAAGGAAGTGTTCTGATTCCCTAAGTATGTATACCTTCCAGTGTGGTTCATCACACTAAATTGGGCTTCTAGGAGGCAGATTAACGTACTTATTATCTTCACATCCATCGGCTCAGCAGAGAACCACTACCTCACACTTCATAAATATCCCAAACTATTTTGAAAGTGAAATAAAAAGGACTATATTACGGGCTGAAAGACAGGGCTCAGAGGTTAAGCGCACGCTGCTCTTCCAAAGGTCCTGCGTTCACAACCATCTATAATGAGATCCGGTGCCCTCTTCTGGCGTGCAGGCACACATGCAGGCAGAATACTACATACATAATAAATATTTTTAAAAAAATAGGACTATATGCATAAAACATTAACCACTGATATCATCTACTTGACCCAATGCTGTTTATTTGATCAGATCAAAAACAATAATATAGCAATCTCTGGTTGAAAAGACCCTTATAATCCTTCTGGCACTTTCTCCCTTGACTATCCCACAATGGATACAAATCGCATCTCTGTATGCATAGAAGTATATCCTTAATCACCCGAGGGTGGGCTTCCAGTTACCTTTAGAAAAAAAAAAAGCCATTTCAATCCAGCTCAAATTAAAAAAGAAAAAAAAAATCATGTGTACCTCATGGTGACAGAAATTGCAGGTACTAAGATGAGGAACACTAGCTTCTACTTTCTTTGTAAAAGCCAGTGTGTTAAGTTCTGCAACAGAAATCTGTTCAGTACAGTTACAGCAGTAAGATACAAGGTTGTTGACAGATGAGTATTTCAAGCAGGAAAAAAAAAAGTGTGCATGAGTAAAGGCTTGGAGAGATGAGAAGCATGAGTACTGTGCAGCAAAGTACCATGGCGCTTCCTAGGGTTTTGGTAAGGAGGATGGAGATGGAGGGAGAGGGAATGACAGTGTGCGAAGGATCTCAGATATCAAGCTAAAAAACATGAATCTCATCCTAAAAGCAAGAGTTTTCAGAACTTTGTAGCTAGGAAGGTGACCTACCTAAGATCTGTATTTGAAGGAACCACTGAGGATTCACAGTAAACCCCACAGTGGCCTGGGGCGAGGAAACAACGCTGCTGGGCATTTCTGAGGGTAGCGGGCACACTCTCAGCCAGGGGAGGAAGCAGCTCTAAGTGGAGGCCTTCCATTCTAAGCTGGGAAGCGCACATCTATGACCTAAGCTACCTTTCCTAGTTCTGTGTTTTCCCGGTCAGCGCAAGAGAAGGTAAAGGGCCTGCAGAGGCCAGCTCATCACGAAGAAAACATCCTGTGGGTTCAGGAGCTGAATTTCCCGCCAGGGACTGCACCTTCATAATGCCTGTCTTTCATTATACACGGACCACACACATGAACTACAGCCATTTTAAAGTAAATGTGCTTTGCAAGGGTGAGGATGGAGCATCATCCAGAAACAGGACGTCAACTCTAGAGCTGTGTTTAAATGTGTCCTCTCCTGAGTTAGGAAACACCTTTGTTACAGTATACCAACTATGGTACAGTATCACCCACGAGAACTTGTTCTGATATGTGAAAACAGTTTCAAGACACAATCACATTAGACAATGTTTTAATTTGGATTTTGCTGTTATTTTAGGGCAGTTTCACTGTGATGCCCTAACCACTTATTTTGTCAGTTCAGTCTCTAGCATCCTGTATTTTGAAGCTGCTATCCTGTATCCTTCATTAATTGTTATAATAGCCATGCAAGCCCTTACTAGGAATCTCTCGTTTTAGTATGGGAAAGAGATCTCAGTCATTAACAGAGCAGTTGCATGCTCCAGTAATTCACGGAATGGAATTTTCGATCTGCCAATAACTCCCGGAGAACAGCTGGAAGTCATTGACACCACAGAGCAGAACCTGGTGATATGTCGCAATTCCAAAGGCAAATGTGAGTTTATGCTGAACTTTTTTTATGTTCAAGAATTTTTTTTTTCTAGAAATCCCAGGTTAATAAAGTAACTTTTGTTTCTACAGATGGATATGTGCTCATTGACCATCTACATTTCAAGTAAGCTGTTTAATTTTATATCAAATCATGAGTTCCAAGTCCTTAATGTAATATTGTGTCTACTAGTCTTAAGGGACTACTGAGCTTATTTGAAAATAGCTATGCAGTGCGCTGTCCGGGATTGTACAGGAGGAGGCCTTATCATTGGACTTCCAAGTATAATTAACCAAACTAATATGCAGAGCCCATCTTTAGTTTTCGGAAATCTCCTAACTGTCCCATCACATTGTAGTTCATAACGCCTGCATGTTTTCTTTCCTGTCCCAGGCACCAGGGCTGATCCCATTAGAAAGAGCTGCATAAAGTCAGGATGTATCCAAGGCGTGAGGTCAGGCTCACAGCACTTTCAGCTCCTGCCTCAACATGAGATGGGTGGTGGAAACTTCTGTCGGGAACTCAGAAGAAAACCCTCAACAAGTCAACGCTGGTTGGTTTTACTCCATGAAAGTGTCTCTTTCAATGTCTCTTTCACCGCTGGTTCAAAAGAATGTGAAACAGTCCGTTAGTATGCAAGCATTTGCCAAATTAGCCACAGCCCAAGTTAGAAACCTTGGCTCCGGCCCCAGGGAGCGGTACAGATGGTCAATGAGCTTCTAATGTTAGTCCACAGTGTATGGAACTTCTCGGTGTACATGTACATTCATATCAAGTCAAGGTAGAAAAACGGTGACCATGACACTTTAAACAAACAAAAACCACCCAAACCATAATTATTGGTTTGTTTTTTAACCAAAGTAAAAAATAGAAGATAAGCGCCACTGAGGGAAACAGTTTGAAGGGGGGGGGGGAGTTCCTTTTCTAAATTCAACCAGAAGTATTGTGTAGAAGTGTTTTTAAGTATGTTTTACAAAAATGTGAAAATACATACATGCTGTATCATATTAAAATAGGGAAAATTATTTGTCTATGCAGAAAGCATATCCAAATGTATTTCACTGGCATGATAGTAAAATTTCAGTGTTGTAAATAACATTCAAGTTCTGCCTGATATGTATGTTAATAAATTTTATATATGCTTGCAGCTATTAAATTTTAAGATCATGTCCTCATCTTCCAGAGGACCCCCGTTCAGCTCCCAGCACCCACATGCAGTAGCTCACCATACCTGTTCCTCCAGGATGACACATCCTCCTCTGAGCTCCAGGGCACCAGCATTCACATGGCATATGCTCACGCAGGTCTACATTAAGAGCCTGACTCAGCAATTTAAGTGGTGGGTCCTATCGAAGCTACTTCTTAAGCTTCTGTATTCTTCAATCTTCCTTTAAATGGTCCAGACGGCACTTGCTAGTAAAGGGCATTTTCATTCTAAATCAGATGAATCAAAGGTATTTATGGAGTTCAAAGCATAGAGAATAAAACTGGGAGATTACCCCAAATAACAAGACTAACCACATCATAAATGGCCTGGCTTAAGGATGAAGAGAAGTGTCACAGAGGAAGAGGCACTGAAGGGCTGGTGTTGAAATAAAGACATAAAGTAGGAAAATCTGGGTTCTTCCTGGAGGCTGTGAGGAATTCAGGCTGAGGGTACACAGTGAGCCTGGCAGGAAAGCCTGGTAGGATGACTTCCTCTAAATACTGGGGACCCATTCGAGGATTAGGCTAAAAGGAAATGCCAATGTCTGGGGGAAAACCAGGGTAAATAGGGCTACAGACTTCAGAGAAAAAAAAAAAAGACTTCTTTGCAATATTCAATAAGGGAAATTTGACAAAGTCCCATACCTAGATGAAGAACACTGGCAATCAATGGCTGCTGAGAGAGGTTACACAATCCCAAGGGGTCAGCCCAAAACACACGAACACAGGAAGAATGCCAACAGGCTTAGGTTGTATGCGCACGCGTGTGTGTGAGAGCAGTAATTATAAAAGAGGTCCTGAACTGGGAAAGGGAGGAGTGGCAGAAATTATACCAATTACACTGCTCACATTTGGAATTCTCAAAAAAAAAAAACAACAACAACAACAAAAAAACATGGCTCATCTATTTGTTGCCTTTGGAAATGAACTTCAACGGGCAAAGACAAATGCAGGCTTACATGGCATCACACATAGATGGAACTAGAAACAAGCAGGTATAGCCATATTGATGCCTGACACAGACTCACACTGAAGCCAGTCACAGGAGGTAACCAACGTCACTTCATTTTGGTTACAGGAACAATTCTAAGCATACACCCAGCAACCGTCAGTGCACCTAATGTCATTAAACTGACCCCGCTGGCTATAGAGGCAGAGACTGAGCTCCATATGTTAACGTTGGTAGGCAACCTCAACACCCTGCTCTCACCAATAGTCATCCTGGCACATCAGCAAGTATACTTCAAATGAACTGGCCAGACATCTGCAGAGTACAGACTACATAACATTTCAGCAACCTAAAAATAGACCATATTTTTTAACACAAAGCATGCCGTAGCAGATCTAAAAAGCAAGCTTAAGAATTTTCTCATTCTATATGAACACAGTGACTAAACTAGAAATTAATAGCAGAAGAATGAGAGTATTTTAACTCATGAAAATAACACATTATTGAATAATGAGTGGGTCACTTTTGTAAAAAGAGGAAAATGTCAGGGCTTTTAGAACCCAATCATAATGAAAACACATGCCAGCACCTGCGCTTTATTCTGAAAAATCTTCCTACAGTGGGAAGAGCACAGCTATAAAACAAATTTAGCCCAAGATGGTGGTCCCACCCATCATCTCAGAGTCAACATGAGCACTCTAGAAGCCAGTGAACATTTACCGAGGCTTTGGCCCTTGCCAATCACCATGCAGGTCAGCATGTGCTGCCAAGGCTTCCTCCAGTCCCCAGTACTCCAGAGTTCATCACACTCAACACGGCGTAAGCTGTGCCCATAGTCCTGCTGTTGCCCTAAGCCAGGCCACATCCCTGTAGCCATCCACCCGGGAATAAGCACCTGTTGTCTGTCTCCATAGCTGGATTTCATGCAGATGTAGTGTTGAAAATGAAGGACGCAATCCTCAGCAGCTGTGACCGAAATATGGACTGGAAACATTTTCCAGTACAGACTAAAAAGGATTAAGAGTTATCCCCCTTTTCTTTGTTTTGCTCTATTGGTTAGTACATGTTTTCATCCTGTGTCTTTTTGTGTTTTGCTGTGTTTTCTGTTTTGTTAATATTTTAGTTTTATATATATGTGTGTATACATATATATATGTACATAAAGCTACTCAATTTTGCACATTATTAACTCATTGTGTTTTAAGCTCTCTGTCATCAGATTGATGCTAGGGAGATGGCTCAGTAGTTAAAAACACTGGCTCCTCTTCCAGAGAACCAGGCTTTGATTCTCAGTCACCCACACAGAGGCTCACAATCATCTGTAACTCCAGGCTCAGGGGACACAACACATTCTTCCAGCTTCCATGCCCACCAGACATGAGAGTGGTGCATAAACATACATGAAGAAAAAAAATACTCATACATATAAAATTTAGGTTAAAAAAAAAACACAACTACTGTGCAAAGCAAGTCCAAGAACACAGCAAGATAAATATATATATATATATATCATGACCAAGGGAGCCTTGTCCCAGTGACGCAAGCTGGGTGAAATATGCTCAAATCTATACGAATTTAATATTCTAAATAATCCATTTAGACAGTCACTTTATCGTAATTAACTCACAAATAAGAACATGTAACTAATTTAAGACACTGTTAGCTTATGTGTAGCATACACATTATATATAAGGTACACACGTGTATGTGTTCTTTTGTGCCTTAGCCTTATAATATGGGCCTGCTCTCCTCATATGCTCCCCAAAGGGAAGGTCCTAGTATCTTACTCTTTTTCTACTATGCCACACCATCCTAATTTCTGTATACGGCATGGTCCTGTATAGGGCAGAGGGGGATCAACCCAGTCTAACAACTTAGAATCTGCTCCTTGTGGGGCATACCAGATCTTGCCATTCATAATATAAGTCACACATCCAGGAAATCGGTCGTGGGCACTATCCTGGACTTATTAACTGAACTCTTGCCCTCAACTAAGGACTCGGGTTCTGGGTCTGGGTTCGTTGTTTCCCTTGATTCTGTGCCTTCCTCCTTGAAACCAGGTGTGCCCAAGAGTTTCTGACACCATCTTTCAGTTACTAAATCTCTAACTTTTCTATTCTTGGTGCAAACAGGGGCGCATAATGGGGATTCCTGTGTAGGAGGAGGCAGAGTTATCACCCTGTACAGTTCCATGGTGGTGGATATTTTTCTCTAAAGAATTATCTTGTTTAGAAAGAGTGCCACTGTATACATTCACATCCTCTACTGAAACCCATACAAAATTTCCCAAAGCGAAAAAGCATAGAGAAACTCCCATAAAACATTAACAAGAATCATCAAAAATGAAAGTTAAGAGGATGCTGGAGAACTGTTATCAGTGACGTTGACATGCTGGAAGTCAGCCAAGCAACAGTGGTCGCCAGGCGGTCCACACCAAGTATGGGTATAAAATAAAGTTTAGAAAGGAGACCAAATGAGGTAACATTCAGCGATTCCTGATGAGGAACGGCAGAATGTGGGCAAAAGGACATATAAAACATGAAAGAAGATATCAAGCTGTTTTGTTTTTTTTTTTTTCTAGTTTCAACTCCACCATAGTTTCTTTTTTTCTTTTTGGTATGGATAAGCATATTAGTTACTTTTCTATTGCTGTAAAGAAAAAAAAAATCATGTCCAGGATAACTTACAACCAATCTTCAAAAAGACTCCACATGCTCTTCAAAGAAATATCTCATTCCTGCTACCAACTTCTGTACCAGTGACTTTTCTGTTGCTGATAAAACATCACGACTAGAAGCAACTTACAGAAGGAAAAGTTTATTTGGGCTTACCGTTCCAGAGGGACAAGAGGCCATCATGGTGGCACAGCTGCAGGAGCAGGAAATCGAGAGTTCACATCTTGATCTGCAAGCATGGAGCGGATGGAGAATGCAAACCTATACAGCAGACAAACGTATACAGCAGCATCAGCCCACTCTCCATAGGTACAGATATTTGAACGCTTGTCCCTCAATTGGTGGCCCTGTTTGGGGAGACTTAGGGTAGACTTGCTGAAGGAGGCATGTCCTAGAGGACAGGCCTTGAGACGTATAGCTTTGCCTGCTGCTGTATACGTGAAAAAATAAAACAAACAAACAAAAAACCACTATAATAAATGAACAGAAATGTAACTCACGGTGAAAGCTGAGAACTTACACTGAAGCTCCATCGCTTCCAAATGGACATTTTAACAGTGTAGACGTTCACTGAACTAAATCATCTTAAGGACAGACATCGCAAGATCATTTCAATACATGTGGAAAAGACTTGGCAAAATTTAACAGGTTTTTATAATAAAAGTCTTAGAGAATTTAGGAACAGATAGAACACGCTGCAAACTAATGAAGACTACATATGACAAACCTATCAACAACATTTCTTACAAACTATAGAACAATAGTATCTGCGTTCTCCACTCGTACTCAAAATAATTTCTGAGATCTTACCTAGATCAGTAATACAAGTGAAAGATATAGAAGGGATAAGAACAGGAAAGGAAGAAATCAAATTATCCATTTCCGGATGACATTCTATACTATTCTATATTTTAAAGCCTTTGATAGTGTATCAGAAAAGTCAGCTAATAAAAATTTTCAGAAGGTTGCAGTATACAAATCAACATACATACTGGTATGTATGTAGCTTCCTTACATACCAGCAATAAAATTGCAGAGAAAAGGATTAGGAAAAAAATCCTATTCACAATAGCTCCAGGAAAAACAAAACGTACCTAGGAATAAACGTAACCAAAGACATGAAAGACTTCTAAACGACGTCTTTAAGACACTGATAGAAAATGATAGACAAAATCATCTTCCATGCTACTGGAATGGCAGAATATTGTTATAGTAGTTGTATTGCCAGATGTAATCTACAGATTCAATGCAATTCCCATCAAAATTCTTCACACAACTAGATACAAGAATACAAGAATTTATATGGGACACAAATAGCCTTCCAGA